TATATATATATATATATATATATATAAGAAGTAGCATTTTAAAAAAAATTAATTGACTACAAACCTCCAAAGACTTATAATCAATTAAAATTATTAATTAAAAAAAAGAACAAAAATATATTAAATTATATTGAAAAGATGTGTCCAATCCTTAACATTACAACTCTATGATTAGGATTGTCAAAATGATTATTTATTCGCGAACAACTAGTGTTCAACTCCTTCACAACCCTAATTGCGTAATTGTATCAACGTCCACCGGAAATCAGGGTTCAGAGGAATCGACAGTCAGCAACACCACCCCATGGATGATGACTGTTGTTGCAAGCTACCTTTGTCGTATGTTCCCCACTCTCATAAAACTTGACAACCGTCACAGTGTGCTCCTCTCTTACCGAGAGACGGCACGCAAAAACTTGCCTCTTTAACTGGCTCTTTAATTGGCTCGTGCTTGCTAATTTTATGTATGTAAATATGTATGTATGCATATGGATGGATGGATGGATGGATGTCACTTATTTATCATGTTTACTTGGGAGTTTCAATCATTTGACATAAAAATTAGATGGATTTTTAAAGAGTGTTTTGGAAATTTAATTTTTTCAAGTTTAAATTTAGATTACAAAATTGATTTCTATTTAAAAATATAAAAAAAAAAACTAAAAATCTACTAAATCGTATAAAAAACTTAGAAATAGAAACCACGCCACCAAATTTCCCTCAAAACTTGTGTCATAATTTGCAACGTATATTGCCTACTATAATTAATTGTAGATGCCTCCGACAACCAAACTTTTCGATGTTACATTTGAGATTGTTATGATGTGTCAGCATCTACTGTAACTAATTTTATATAAGAATAGACAGTTACCGTTGACTCAATGTAATTCAATTCTATAGCATAAATTTGTACTTGGAATCTTTTTGGTCAGTCCAAATGACACTCAAATCTCAATCATGTTATTACATATAAATATATATATATATATAACTTACATGTAGCCACTCAATTCTTCTGTATTAACGTATCTAACACAAACTTCATTTTCTTATATATGCCATATTAACCAAGCATGAAAAGGTGTACTTCATTTTTTTAAAAAAATTAAATTAGTGCTACTATTTATGTGATATGAAAATTTTAAGTGGTACAAATGCCTATAGGTGTTAGATATATGTATATATATATAG